TATATATATATATATATATATAATAGGTTAAAGAATTTTTTGCCCGATCCCTAGCACGACAGTTCTTTGATCACTCAGATGATGTTTTCAACATGATAAATGAGATCTGTAGCGAGAAAAATAAGAAAGAAATCCGTGTCGGGGACGCTCCAACGTGGTCGACACCGGAACTAACGTGTAAATCTTTACCTTCTTACTTAATTTCTCTTCTCCCATTGAAGTTCAGAGTTGCAATCTTCACCACTTTATAGAAGTTCCCAAGACCAATACGAAATGCGATTAGGGTTTTGGGTATCCGACGCGAGATATGTTAGCCAGATATTAACGGTTGAACTTTTCGTTATGCGCCAATGTCTCAATGCTATACCACGAGAGAATAGTAGTTAACGTAACAAGGGCGCGAAACCGGTGATTCTCGCACGAGTCGAGTTTGTCGTCCGAGCATAGCTAGGTCGACATAGTGACGAGTGTGGGAATCACCTCGCGCCCGTGTTGTAATACTATTTTTAACACGCCATGAGTCAAAGGCAACGCGTCAAATCAAGGAATATAAATTATATATAAAATAACAAGAAAAATTTACTTACATGAAATAAATAGATCATAGTCAGTGTCATAACACTATTGTTTGTAAAAAAATAATCAAAGATGATAAGAGGAAAGACAATTGCGAATCGTTACATGTATTTCGCACACGCTTAGCGAACTTTTGCACTGTGAACAAATTAGCGATTTTGCACACCGAAAACGTGCACGAGAAATCGCGTTTCGCACTGGGCGTGTTAAAAAAGACATTTCACTTCAAAGATCTTGAAGACAGAGCTTGCCTCATGAGGCCTCGTTGAGTTGCACTCATTTTTTCCCGCTCGATCGCCTGTCAACCAGTTGGCGAGTTGATGAACGGGTACGCAAGTGATTTGGAAAATGTTTTGGGTAAATGCTGTCACTCAATTGACACTCTACAATTATGGCGTAATTGAGCTCGTATAACATCAACTATCAGCACACATAACGGGTCACGACACAACGTTGACCGACTTAGGAAATGTTATCCAGTGACAACCAATGGTTGCAGAGAGGCACAGTATCACTAAGAATTTTAGGGAATGCCATAGAGAAAGGTTTTTTATGCTTCAGATATAGGTTATTCAAAGGGCTTCGCTCAGTCATACTCTAATACGAGTACACGGTTCTTCAATTACCCGGCGGTCCGCGGTGCCATTTATTGCGGCCCGTAAAAGATTTTTAGTCAAAAGTTAGTGTCCCTTGTAGCCATATCGAGGGAGAGCCATAGCGCGCCCAGCTCATGCGCTCCGGAAGAGTCCATGCTCCCTTAATATTGATTCAAGTTTAGATTTAAGATTCTTTTCCAGTAAATTCTAAAATTCAAAATCATTCCAACGTGTTTCACTTCCTGACATCACTCCTGACTCCACCCCCCCTCCCTTGTTTCGAAGCAGCCGGGAATAGTGCGAACATCAACAATATAGGAAAGTCTGGTGTGGTTCACTCGAGTAATAAAATATGGCACGCAACCACATTAAAAGTTTTAGTTGTGGTTCGTGAGGCCTGGCACGGTGAACTGCTCTAGTAAAACTGTCCTCTGCACCACCAAAATCACCACCGCGCTTTTCCACGTTCTAAAAAATAGAAAAGACAAAATCGCTGATATTGTCGCAAAATTTTAACGCGTTTCTGTATGATTCATATTAAATTCGAAGATAAGCAGATAATCAGAAAAACATCGCTAATAATACAAATAATCATAATGAGCAATTACTTTTCATAATTGTTTAAAATCACCAACTTTTCTAATGATACAATATGCATTTTAGGTTTTTATCTATTATATTTATAACACCCTTTCCTATGTTATAAGATAATAGACATATCCTGATCTGTTTTATGTTGTTCAACATTAAACGTCTCTCTTTCAGGTGCATTCGAGTACATCCAGACCCTGAATCCTGCTATGAAACACATTTTAGCGGTGGCAGTGGGTGTCATAATGGATCGAATTCTGCAATAAGAAAGAAATTTCAACTTATTCGACGTTACAGACCAGCGACGTCAATAGAACCACTTTTGTATTCGTAGACGGAAAAGTTAAGAGAAGTACGTTTGATGTTGTTTTATTTATAATAAATTAATAATGATATTATTAATCAAATAATTTATTTTTTTATTTAATATTTTGAGAGCATTGATTTTTTCCTCTTGACTGAAAATATAATTTTTTCTCAGCGATACACTCTGTTGGGAGTGTTTCGTGACTCCAAATTCTTTAATTCGGGAAGCAACCAACATTCGAATGCAAGTAAACGAAATGCTGCATGCGACAAGGAAAATGATTTAAGCGGTGGTTTTCTGTTACCTTCCTCATGTGATGAAATTATCTTTAACGTCTTGTGTTTTCAATGTCTTCGTTGGTCACGTTTAGTACATTGTTTATATATCTTAATAATGATACCAGTTTCTAAACCTGATACACATACCAAAAGTGGACGAATTATTTTATTGGCTAGGTGATTATGATAGTGTGATTTGCGATGATGAAATCGTTGGAGGAGGGTCAGGGGAAACAGGAGTACCCCGAGAAAATTTGACGGAAACCAGCTGCGTCCGTTCTGATGGACTGGGATTTGAACGTTGGCCTGCCCACCGCACGTTACAGTCCCTGGATAAGAGACTAGCGTATTCCTTTGCGCCGCCATTTTATAATCGGCTTCCAGAAGGTTTTGAACTGCTTGGTATTTTGTGTGTTGAGAACCGCCAATCTTCCCTAAACTAATTTTAATATATTCCGTGGTGGTAGCAGATATCATGTGGTAATCCATAGTATGGTAAAGGAAATAATCTCCACAAAAGTTTTAAACTTTTATGGAGATTATTTCCTTTACCATACTAATTTTAATATCCTTGCGAACCTCCGTTAGGACTTCCATTATTATTTCTCTTCAATTTCTCAATGCTGCCTCACGGGACTGCTGGGTGAGAGGATATTAAAACACTGGGTTGCCCTTTTCTCTATAGTGACTGCATGTGTTGCTACAGTTGGTGTCACTTGGGGCAAAATTAGTGATATCCCTTCCCATAAACTACACAGATATAAAAATATTATTGAAAAGTTATAAAATATTTAATAAAAATGTAATTTTATTTTTACGTGACACTTATTTATAATATATTTAAAAAAATTAATGTAGTTCAGAATAATTGAAATATAATTTTTAAATAAATAATATAAAACAAAGTATAACTAATTGGCAAATGTGTGGTTTTTATAAAAAATTGTTTTTAAACAAATCAAGTTGAATATTCACCCTATAAAGTTTTCTAAGTGGAGTCACCTCTAAACCGGTGTCACCCGAAGCGGACCGCACCCCTCTGCGGCTCCGTAACTACGCCACCAACGTGTTGGCTGGCCGGGACGTGAGTGCTCGCGGTGTTGCAGCGCCGCCGCCAGGATGTCGCACCAGTACTACACGCAGCTGTGGGAGGACACGGCGCAGGCGCTGGGCGCCGTCGTGCGCCAGGATGTGGCGGTGCAGGCGCAGGCGCCCTTCGGCAAGCGCGAGCCCGCGCTGCGCGTCGTCGCCGACCTGTACGTGCGCTACCTGCGCCTCGTGCGCAACCTCGACGTGTGCTACGACCAGGTGACGCAGCCGCAGAAGCGCCCGCTGCTGCGCCGCCTGCTCGACATGGCCATCGGTGCGCACCGCCGCTCGACGCTAGGGCGCATGGAGGGGACAAAGCACAAAACACAGACGAGATCGCGACGACCGGAAAGGTTGGAAACACTGAGACTGACATCTTGCGGAGAAAGTGAGTCACTCCCAGGCGTTACAGGGGGCGCTTCTCTCAACACTAGCACGGATGAGTTCGCAGCGACCGCGTAGTTTGGAACTGACACTGACATCTTTCGAAGTAAGTGAGTCACTCCCAGGCGTTACAGGGGCGATCACGAGACGCTCCTCTCAACACCAGGGTGTACGCGAGGGAAAAGCACAACACATTGACGAGATTGTAACAACCGCATAGTTTGGAAACTGGGTGCGCGGGGGAGGGGACAGAGCACAAAACACCGACAAGATCGCAACGACCGCGTAGTTTGGAACTGATACTGACATCTTTTGGAGAAAGTGAGTCACTCCGAGGGGTTACAGGTGACGCTCCTCACGAGGCGCTCCGCTCAACACCAGGGTGCACGCAGAGGAAAAGCGCAAAGCACGAATGAGGTCACCACGACCGCGAAGTTTGGAACTGAGACTGATAACTTTCGAAGTAAGTGAGTCACTCCCAGGCGTTACAGGGGACGATCACGAGGCGCTCCGCACAACACCAAGGTGCACGCGGGGGAAAAGCACAAAACACCGACGAGATCGTGACGACCGCGTAGTTTGGAAACACGGAACTGAGACTGACATCTTGCGGAGAAAGTGAGTCACTCCCAGGCGTTACAAGGGTCGCTCACGAGACGCTCTGCTCAACACCAGGGCGCGCGCGGGGGAGAAGCACAAGGCACCGATGAGATCGCAACGACCGCGTAGTTTGGAACTGACACTGACATCTTGCGGAGAAAGTGAGTCACTTCCAGGCGTTACAAGGAGTGCTCACGAGGCGTACTGGTTATAGGGGAGTTCCGCTACTTACCTCAATGCTAAGGGCGAACAAAAACATAAAAAGTAATGATATCGCACGTTGTAATATCAATTTGATACTTACGTATTAACAGAAACTGACATTTTGCGTGGGCGTGAGATTCGCTACAAGGAACGCTCATGAGTCGCGCTGTCTTGATATGTCCATCAGTCCCCATCGATAAACTTATCTCCAAATTTGAGAATAGGAGACGAAAAGAAAGAAACCAACAACCTCGGCCATACAGTTCCGTCACATTATTAACTGAGACTGACACCGCTCGGAGAAAATAAGTCATTCTCAGACGTTACAAGAATCGCCGACGAGGCACACTGGCTTGACATGGCCTTCGGGGCGTCCTCCACTTAATTTAACCCTACAGGGCGGAAAAATACAGTAAGAACCAACGAGATTGCAAGTTGCTATATCAAGTAGAGAGTTAAGTAAACTTTACACGTACTGATATCTTGCTTAAAAAATGAGTCACTAGGCGTTAAAAGGGGTGCTCGTAAAAAAGCGCTGGCTTGAGATGACCGTCGGTACGTCGTATCGCCTCCTCTCAACTGACCTTCACTTATGCCAACAGGACACGAAAAAAAGAACCACGGTTACACGGGTCGGGCGCATTATTAACTGAGATGGACATCTTGCAAGGAAACTCCCAGGCATGAAAAGGGTCCCTCACAAGGCGCGTCTGCTTGAATGATTCCCTACACTCACGATACGAGTAGGCAACAAAAGGAAGTTGGGTGCAAACAGAGAAACTACCGTCTCTCAGTGTAACGAAGGGGGTGTATTTCTCTGACTTCTAAATAAAGAATTATGCTTTTATTTTGATAAATTCATACAGATAAAGCCATTGAAACAGTAATGTTGTCTTCATCACTTATAAAACCTATTCTCTGAACTGAAGCAGATTGTAAACGTTTGAAATTTATTAAGAACAATTCTGTATCAACATAATCGATCCTGGTGAGTGGTGATTCAAAATTCTTTGTCCTTGAGAGATAAAAAAGGAGTCGTGGCGAGTGTAGGTGTTTGTGTGTTGCGGCAGCGCGCATGCTGGAGATGCGCTATATGCTGCAGCAGTTGGACATCAGCGACTTCAGCTACTTCCACACGGTGCTGCTGGAGCACAACATGACGCCCTACGACCTGGAGACGCCCGCGCCGCGCTACTTCCGCTTCGGGCAGCCCCGCGAGGGCCGCATCAAGGAGCAGAACGCCCGCATCGACGCGGTGCTGCGGGACATCGGTACGGCTCCGCCCCCGTCACGCCTCGTGCCCCTCCTCACATCTCCCACTCTCTATCTCATCTCTGGCCATCCTCAAACCCACTTGCTTCGACTGTCTCCATGCCCATCGCTCCTCTTTCTCTCCTGGTTCCCCGTCCAGACCCTGCCCCTCCTCCTCCCATATCCTCTATCTCTCTCTCTCTCTCTGGCCACTCTCTCAGTTGCTTCACCTGCCTCCATGCCCATCGCTCCTCTTTCTCTCCTAGTTCCCCGTCCATGTCGTTTATCTCTCTCTCCCTGCCTCCCTCTCTCGCCCGACCTCCTCATGCCCATTTGCTCCACCTGCCTCTCTGCTCATCGCTCCTGTCTCCTTGTACCTCGTCCATCGCCTCTCTCTCTCTCCCTCCCGATCTCCTCATTCTCTTTTTCTCCACCTTTCTCTCTGCTCATCGATCCGTTTCCTTTTCTTGCTCCTCGTTCATCTCGCCTCTCTCTCTCTCTCTCTCTCTCTCTCTCTCTCTCTCTCTCTCTCTCCCTCCTCGTGTCCACGTTCTCCGCCTGCATCTCTGCCTCTCTCCGTGCCTACTCCCCATGACCCTCGTTCATCGCACCTACTCCCTCTCTCTCTCCTCGTTGCCCCTCGCTTCTTCACACCCAACCTCCCATACCTCTCGCTCTCCTTGACCGTCGTCTACCATCCTCGTATACCTCACCCAATCATTTTTCTCCCTTTACGCATGCCCACTTGGTCCGCTCGTTCAGCCACCTCGCTCCTCTCACACTTTTGTCCTCACTTCCACCCTCCGGTTTTCCCTCGAGTTCTCTTGTCTACCTTACATCCTTCACACCTCACCACCTTGCCTGTCTCCCCTCCACCCTTCTGTTTGCCTTCCTTGTACTTGTTTCGCTTGTCTCTTACACGTCTCGTCTATGATACTCTCTCGCCCCCTAGATCTTCTCTTGACCTATTGCTATTCCTCTTGGTCCTCTCTCATCCCCCGATTTTCTCCCACGATCTTGTTTCCACGTTCGTTTCTGTCGTCACGTCTCGCCACCCGCTCACTCGCTTCTCTCGTCACCTCTTGCCTCCTTGCATCCCGAATGTCGCGTGCAGTTCAGGTATCTGGAATCAGCTGGAGGAGATGCAGGGTGTAAATATTGAGGCGACCGCCTAAGTTTGGGTCAACTGTCTCACTCGATAGATAAAGTTTCTGTGAGATTTTATATTTGGCCCCGTTGAAGCTGCCGTTCAGTAAGCTTCCAATGTATGGGCTAAGGATATATAATCGAGGGAGTCTGGCACAACGTATCTGCCAACTTTTTATTGTTGATACATGGCTACTATAGTTCGTATCACCTCCAGCAGGGTCCGATTCCCCATTATTCTTTAGGAGGATCAGTGAAGGTACTACCTTTCATAAGGTGGTTCTGGTTCGTGCAATGTAATAACATGATACCTATACATTACTACATGTGCACGATCCATTAAGTTCTTCCACGATCGAAACGCGCACACAGCAAACCTAACAAAAAGTGAGATGTCTCCTGAGTGGTAGTGACGCAAAAGCGGTTCTACCAACATATAACTTAAGATGCGAAGTTTTTAGATAGTAATTTTAAAACGGGACTTCCATTGCTCTGCAGAAACACATGAGGACAATGCTGTTAATAACGTCACTAACCCTTACCAGTTAGGAAAAGTTATATTTTTTAAACACAGTGGTGCAAATCATGGGGCTAAATGGTTCTAATCTGCGAATGTTCTTGTTGAGAAAAAGAATCAATGTCCAATTTTGTGAAATGTTAGATTTTGACAATATACCAATGTATAGCGATTTAAAACTTTGAATTCAATTCCATGAAAATGATTGAAAGTAAATATTCTGAATTTTACAGAAGAAAGAAAAAATATGGAGGAAGAAGAGAGACTGGAGGAGCAGAGAAGGTCCCGAGATGCTGAGATGAAGATGAAAGAAGATGCTGAAAAAACGGATCCGAGGAAGGTTTGGTCATAGCAAACGGAAAGAAGGAGTAATCTGACATATAGAAATGATGCCTATTGAAACTTGTGTACTTTTTGGTACTACCAAAACTAATACAATGGTCATCTTTGAACGACTCTGTAAAAATCTTTAAAAATCATTTAAAAAAGACATGAATGCCCCTCTAGAGAGATAAACAGGTAAACTATTTTCTCTTACATCGACATGTTAGTATATTTTTAACTTTTCTGGTTATGTAACTGGTTCTTCTTAATGGTCCCTCTTACTATTCTATTTTCCACCTGTCTTATTCATCCCTTCAGATCATTTATCAACTTTCTCCACCATTTTCAACTCTAACGTACTTCTTTCACTTTGCCTTCTATTTCATCCTTCATTAAACAAACCTTTTGTACAAGATAATTTTTCTTATGTCAATACCATTGTTTTAAAGTTTCGTTTCTCTTTTCTCTTTCTTAGCACATAATCGTTTTTCATTATTTCATACACTTATATTTTCGATACTTCTCCATACTCTGACACCTGTATTTCCTTTTTTCTCTTTTCAGCATGTCTAGTCTCAATTACATACTCCGTATAAAACATCTCGCGTATAGTTACCTCAGACCTATCTTTAAATTAATTGAGTGTAAGTTTCTCACAGTTTCGCCACATTCTATTTTAACGGCACTGCTTTTTTAACTCACATTAGTTAATTTTCTGTTAATTCAACAGATAATTATTTTTATTTCCTTTCTGGTCTTGTTTATCGTCTCATTTCATCGTGAAAAATGTTCGGAGACGTCCAACTGCGTAAATTGGACAATTATGTTGAGCAAAACCCGTTTTGGAATGACCTGAAATGTTTCCTGAATGAAACAGAACAGACGGACGAAAATGTTTTGGACAAGTTCATTCAGATGGCAGACTCTAGATATTCTCCCAACGCTAATTATTTTTATGGCCAAGAAGAGTGTCATCCGTCAAATTAAAACCAATAAAGCAAATGAAAAATATTCTCTTACTTTTTAAAGATTTTTTTCATATACCATTAAATTTCAATTTATTATAAAACATTTTATTAAAATCGAAACGTACATTTAGTGGCAAAAACAAATATAGATTACAAAACAGTTGTTATTTCGACCTTGGTTTCGTTTGGTAGCTCACAGTAGGATTCGAAAACTGCGTGGTTGCTAAGAAGCTTCGTACGTTTTGTGACCGTCGGGTTAGTGTGTGATGCAACAAGCTCGATTTAAGCAGAGAGTAATTGTGCGCAAATGCATCACTCCTGGTTAAAGCACATTACATACTGGCCGCCATATTGTACAAAACGAACTAAGGTTTGCTACAGGTTCTTGTTTAAAGGGATTTGTTTTCATTATTTAATTTTATTTTTTTGTAAAATGATAATAATATGCAACATAAAATCTTCTGGTTTAGCATTGATGTAATGCATATCTAAGTAGAGGGGACAATTCACACTCATTTTGCTAGTTTGTAGGTATATATTGAAATAATTAATTATATTCGTATATTTGACATTTCGGGAATTTCAATTAAATTGAATGCAGTACGTATTTTATTATTGACATACTGAAAGCGTTGGTTAAATGTTTTGCAGGATATTGCGTTAAAAATTATGAAAACCGTTACGTTTGATAATATATTTTCTTATTTTCGATTTTTCTGAGATTGTACTTTGATTATTGTTAAGTAAATTTCCATAGGGTAATCAATTTAAAGTTTTAATAATGAATATTAATAATCAGAACAGTACAATTCAACGGTTATTTTTTTAAATAACGTGTTACGAAGGAAAAAATACAAAAAATATAAGTTTTACTACGAACAACAAATTTAAATTTGATTCTTTAAATTAATAAGGCCTTAATTCATCGAGTTTTAAATGTAACATCGCTTCTAAATGATCTTCGATCGAACTGACAATAACGTACACGTTCCAATATTACCCCCAAAAAAAGAAGAAGAAAAAAAAGCATGGCGGCTGTCCTTTGAAACAGCTTCAAATACGTCGGGCCTACCGCCAGTCTAAAGCATTCTGTTGTGGGCGTGCATTGGGGCGCAGCGCAAGTCGGGGGCGGCGGCGGCGGCGGCGGAGCAGAAGAAGTCGCTGGCCGCCGTGGCGCGCGAGCGGCAGGCGGAGCAGGACCGCATCCTGCGCCTGGAGCGCCAGGGCATCGACCCCACCACCGGCAACATCACCCGCAAGGGCGCCATCAAGATGGTGCAGCGCCACGAGCGCGCGCGGCAGGCGCGCATCGTCTTCGGCGCCAAGGTGCTTACACACACGCGATGGTGTAACGGTTAGCGTATCAGACTGTTGTACCCAAGTTGACGGGTTCAAACCCGATCGAAGCCGTGGATTTTTAAGGGCGAAAAAATCCGTCGTACGCCTTCCTTCGGAGGGGAAGTAAAGCCGGCTGTCCCATGTTAGTAGATTTAGTTGCATGTAAAAGATCCTCAATCCTAAATGACGCCTCTGAGCTAAATTTAAATCGCCTGTTTCTTGCCCAAGAAATACCTACTTTTTCTACTAGTTAGTGAAAGGAGCGTAGGGAAATTTGCGTGGTCAGACGGAAGAGCAGGCCCCATGGCCTGAGTTTCACCACGTAAAAATTAAGCATTTCATTCAATTCAATTCAATACACAGGCATGCAGACACTAAATACGCACACACTCCTATGTACACCTACGTACATGGTAGGTTCCGTACATATTTCCTACGTGGTTGGTTCCATACGTTTCTGGTCTCACTAACTCATATTTTTGATAAATAGAAAAAACGCACTTGAACCATGGTGCTTGCCACGCCATCTTCTCCCACTTCCAGAAATCATGTAAAATCTTCTACGACGCTACTTCTAAGATGCACACTCTTTGCGAAGGAATATTTACCGGGAAATTCTGAACAATGAAGATATGCATGTGACATTTGTCCCTGATTGGGAGGGAACTCATCACTGGGCGTGTGGCAGGTACAAGCTGGCTCAGTACAAGAGCGTTCGTGTACCTATAAAACATCAGTGAATGATGATTCAGGGACAAATGTGTTTGTAACTTGGTTATTTCAGATATCCAATATGTTCGTGAGCAAAACATCATCTTCGACACCCATTCTTTGCCTAGAAGTTTCTAGCATTTGTTTTGAGCCACTTTGAGCCATTAAACAAATACTTATACATCAATATATTACCATTCATGGCAGCAAAGAGATTTCTTCGAAGGCGTAGTTAACACAAATATAACGTAATTTGAAATGTTTTTGTCGTAACCTGTTTTTAAAATTTGTTCTATTGTATTTTGTCCTCTCTTAATAGGAAATTTCACAAATCAAGATGCTAGCATCAACATTTTCAAGCAACAAACTAGATGTAATTCTCGTTATTCCTATGATTACTTTGAAATTCCAATCCAATAAATTGCTTAATTGTTTTCGAATAATTGTTACTCAATAACTATATATTAAGAGATTTCTTTACCATTATAATATCGAATCGGGGAAAAAGTTTTCAGTTTGTCTTCTATTTTCGACTTTATGATTTGCTTTCTTTTGTTAAAAGTACGATTCATCTTCATTTATTAGACATGCATCGTATATTCAGAAGTTGTTGATAACTTTCATTTCAACGAATATTTCTTTGTGGCCAGCAAACAAAGGGTTGCAGGCAGAATAAAAATGTTCAAGAAGCAAAATTAAAATTAATGTGATATACCACCGAAAAAACAAGAAATAACATTCAAAACAATTTGGAGAGTATGCATTGATTTCCAATAGCAATAATAGAGTAATTTGGTATTGAAATGGGTTGGTTGAAATTCATGATACTGTACTTCCAAAAGCCCCAATAAATAAAGGGATTTCGTTCGTATGACTCATGGGACATAAATTTAACCTTAAACTAAGGAGGCGCCCTCTGGTTGCAGAAAGTGGACTACCGCGACCGCAAGCGCCTGATGATGGGCTTGAAACCCCAAAAGATTCCCATCAACAAGCTTCACGCCGCGGCCACCATCATTCAGAAGATATGGCGCGGATATAAGGCCCGTCTGATGGTGCGTATCACAGAACAGGAGCAAATCTTTACCGTTATTTGTTGTTTTCGCAAAATATTACTAACATTCCTAAAATATGTTTATTCCCATGAAATAATAGTCTACTGTACTAAAAATGTTGATATTAAGTTAAAAATTGAAGTTAAAAATTATATTTGTAAATATTCGAAAAAAGTTATTTTATTTTTAGAAAATATGAAGGTATTTTTTTTCGACGCAGGCCTCCAACATAATTTTGTGATTGGGGGGCTCGCATTACCTAAATAAGGCCCTGAGAGTAGTAAACGATAAAGTAAATACAGCTTCACTATCTGTGTACGTCTCCTTGAGCTCTTTCGGAAAGGTAGATATTAGAATAATTATATATTTTCCATTTTATCGCGGCAGTAAGTCAATTCCATCACGTAAAGCACTTGGAATAACAACATAAATTTATAGCTGGCGCTTGCCTTTGCTAATAGTTTTTATTATAAGGAAACGAATATTTTTATATCAATTCTTCCCAAAACGTCTGTTATGAATGTAAGCATAATTCAACTTAATAAATATTTTTGTTAGAACAGACATCCTTGAGCTCAATAATACTTTACATATTGCAAATTTCCTCCATAGTTTGTCACAAAGTTTTAAACTGTTTTTGACGTTAAATAAATAATAAGAAAAATAATAAAAATAAGTAAGAAAAATATAATAAAAATAAGTGAGAAAAATATAATAAAAATAAGTGAGAAAAATATAATAAAAATAAGTGAGAAAAATATAATAAAAATAAGTGAGAAAAATATAATAAAAATAAGCGAGAAAAATATAATAAAAATAAGCGAGAAAAATATAATAAAAATAAGCAAGAAAAATAATAAAAATAAGTAAGAAAAATATAATAAAAACCAATAGCGAAGAGTGCGCGGCGAAGGCCCAGCCTGGGACGCTCTAACGCGGGCGCGCGCTGTGCGGGCGGGCAGGTGCGGTCGCGCGACGTGCGGATGCTGCTGGCGCTGGGGCTGGCCATGCCCAGCTACTACTCCGAGGTGCAGCAGCGCATCGCCGAAGAGGTGTGCGCCATGCGGCGCGAGCTGCAGGCGGCCAACAAGGAGGACCTCGAGAACGAGCTGGCGCTCGAGACCGTGCGCTGGATGAAGCGCAAAGGTGAAGCGCACAGCTTGCCTCGCACCCTCGCTCTTCACTCCCGCGATGCAGCGGCCGGCTGCTCCGATCGGTAGTTTTCCGTAGTTTCTCCGATCAATACCAGGCGAATGTCGGAGCAGTACCCTAACAAACGGGACTTGGACCGTGGGATCGAGCTAGCTCCCTCCTCCCACCTTACACACACACACACACACACACACACACACACACACACACACACACACTACCACACATGTTGGGAGACGCGTGGGGAGCAGTCGGAGAGAGATGCCGAGAACCTAGTTTATCCCGGCTGGGGCAGTGCCCCGTTGGGGGAGATATCTGGGAAAGGAGATCATCCGTGTAGGTCGGTATCAGATCACACCATTCAGTGGAGAGGAACACTGCCACTTCCAGGTATAAAATAATTCACTTCACCAACGGAACAAATGACTAAAGCAGTTGACGTGCGTGGAAACGTCAATCAATCCAATCGTAACAGCCGCCGAGCACAGAAAGACGAATTATTATAGGGAGCGCGTGCTCTAATAGGTAGTTTTCCGTGGTTTCTCCGATCAGTACCAGGTGAAAGGTGGTGGAGTATCTTAACAAATGGGTCATGGATGGCGTGCGATTTTGCTTTTGTCATTTTCCCATCCTCTCCCCTTAACACGCATACACACAATTACATGTACAATTCTACCTTATATGGGAAAGCGTAGAGATTGTCCCGGTTGGGGTGGGGGTGCTCCCTAGCGGAGATTCCTTCATGAAAAACGGAAACCCCGAAAGCTGAAATATAGGTCGGCTCCGGTTCTCACTTTCCAGCGTTTGTTCGTTTCTAACCCTACAAGGCCTTTTATACGCGACCTTTTATATACCTCATCAAAAAATACATATTTCTTGCGGTTTGTGGAGTACATCGTCAAAAAATATGTATACACATTCTAGGAGCGTTTGAACAATATTAACCCCTGAAACCATGTTCTTGAATGTTGATACATAAAAAATACGTTTACATTTCTCCATATTTTGGTATAATCCGGTTTACGATTCAAAAAACTTCGTTTATCAGTTTTACGCATATAAATGAAATAGATACCTCGTGTGAAGAAAAGAGATTCTAACGTATGTATTACTTGAAGTGCAGTAATAGTGCATTTATTCAATGACCATTAGTATACTGAACATTAGACGGTTTGTTTATTTATTCGGAGAACACTCTACAGGAGATGTGAGAACAAAATTCCTACTGAGGAACATAGTACACCTGGCTTACCTAAGCGTAGATTTGAATTAACAATCATCGTGCAGTGAAACAAACCGAAAGGAAGTCATGAACGTCCTCACCACACGCCCAGCACTGGATTTTTCGAACACTTCTCTCAAGATTCACATAATGACAATATAAGACTTGTATTTTTAACCGTTCTACTTAAATCTCAATTTTTAGTTAAATATTGTACCATCAATAATTTTAATTTTGAAGTCAGATTTTCAAAACTTTTTGAACACGTTATTTCGACGATTATACATAATTGTATATTTTATGTGATATTTGAAAAAAAACACTATATACTTATTTGAACTACGAAAAAATTGTTAATTGATGGAAAGGGAATGCAAACATATTTTGTTGATAAGTTGTAAGCAGAACAAATACTTAACTACTCATCAAGGATTCGATTTCAATAAGAGTGAAAATTCTGGAACGGAGCCCACGCGAACATCAACCTGACTTCTGCCCATCTGCGTGCGTACATTACCCACTAATTTACACACATGATCTTTTCAAAATTGAATCTTCTCTGACCGATCTGACACAAATTGATAACCTGAGAATTTGAAATGAATTTCATGAAGCGAACTACATGATTATGAACCTTCGCAACATAATTTGATAAACCCTTTTTTTAGCGTTATTAACGATATTTTTAGTGTAAGAACAAACTGTCAATTTATAATATAACTCACAATGTATTAGACATTTATGTACGAATAACTGTGTTATCACACACACTGTAAATCGCTACGAGCAAATTCGTGCGGTGGTGGTGGTAATTCGCACAGCCAATCACTGTTTTCGGAAAGATGTCAAATACGTGTGATAATACCGATATCTGTATTGCCAGCTACAAAAATCTACTTTTGAAATTTGTTTTCAGAATTAACTTTGTTTATTTTATACGTTTATAATGATTTTATAAAAAATATCGTATTTAAGTCGCTCCTATCGCCGCACGTTTTCAACGTGTACTTGCTCTTTTAAGGAAATGTTTTAAATTAAAACTTACTTGCTGATATGCTCAGGGTATCAACGATGTCACTGTAGTGTCTCTGATCGAGATGTCTTCAGGAGACCGGCAGGATTTTCGACACTAGCTGCAAAGCTACGTTGAATTCAGCCGCTGTCTGGAGAAGAATTCTAGCGGCCGGCTGCTCTGGTCGGTAGTTTTTAGTGTTTTTTTTTATCAACGCCAGACGAATGCCGGAGCAGTACTCTAACAGGGCCACGGACCGCCCGAGATATTTCCTTCCTCTTCTTTGTCGTATCCTCTCACCTTACACACACACACACACACACACACACACACACACACACACACACACACACACACACACACATACTTTCACTACACAACCACACATACCAGAAGACCGGTCGGGAGCTAGGGCAATGGATGATGCGATGCCCCACTGGTGGGAAATACTGTATGCCAACATGTAGATCGGCGTCGTATCTTATCATACGGCAGGGGAAGAACACAGTCATCTCACCGTCACCGTCACCATGATAAAATAATAAATTGTACTTCCGGGGCTAAAGACCAAAGCAAATGATGCGCCCTGAATCACAAAACAATTTGGTTAAAATAAATAAAACATATTTTAATCCCGATCTTTCCCGTTCCCACAGCGCCCTGGCTGCGCGAGGACCTGACGGATCAGATCCGCGACTGGTTCATCGACTGGTACTACAAGGCGGGCGAGTTCGCGCCCTACCCGACGGAGGAGGAGGGCGGCGGCATGGCCATCGTGGATAAGAAGCTCGTGTCGCCCGAGAAGTTCCTGCAGAAGAAGGAGCGGCTGAAGCGGGAGAAGGAGCTCATCAAGCAGGGCAAGAAGGGCATGACGGACGCGCAGATGGACAAAAAGGCGCTCAAGGAGTTCAAGAAGAAGGAGAAGGCCAAGAAGAAGAAGGAGGCCAAAGAGAGGAAGAAGAAGATTAAAGCAGGTTCGTTACGACTGTAGCCCGTTTTTTCTTTCCGGTTGACTAGGTCTATTTATTGCGTTTTTTTAAATCAAAAAGCTGATCATCAATCACTAATTGAAAAAACAATATTACGGATTTTTTCTTTAAAACTATTATGCTGAGAAACAAATTGAAACTATTGTGCTACACTCATCATGCTTTGCATGTCATTGCCGATGATGAATGTCATTGCTATTCTGCTGTAATTCGAAACATGTAAGATGAATTCATTGAGTTCATTTCCACTCCCCTAACTCTTCTCGGGTCCAGTCAGGAGACAGCTGGCGATATCTCTTCAATTTCTTTTCGTTTTCTCGTCCCTGAACCGATTTTTGCGTTTCAAAAACTTCCACCATTAGTGATCTAATGTGATGCACTGAAGGTTCATGAAAGTTTGGATAATGTTTCTTCAGCGGTTTAACATTTTTAGTTCCAAACGAATGAGGGTTCTAGAACAAAGCGATTCATAAATAATCATATGTAGATGTATCCGAATTATTTCTTACACCAGCTGCTTGCCTGCAAAGTAAAAGTCACATCTCCATTGTGGTTTCGAAAGCATCCTCATTTGTCATGTAGGAACACTGTCGAAATCTTGGTGGTTGGCACTAGTCAGTAAAACAATCTTAATCGTCAATTTTGTAAGACCTAGAGTGTGAAGGGGGTTGTTCTAAGGGCATAATACTACTTGCTAGTGTCGGATGAGTGCACAGAAGAGTATTTGAAGTATTTAAATCATAAATGACATTTTTTTGTGTCATATCCACCGTTCAGAGACTTTGAGTCATATCACCGTTCAACACATTTAATCTGTCTATATT